AAATCTATTGCACCAACGGTGCTCAAGAATGGGTTCATTGAAACGTAGCCTGGAACTTGTCGAGGTCATCCTTCTGAAATTGTCTTACATATTACTCCTAATTCATCAATCTCCACTTATAGATTAATAAATTTATAGTAGGTAGAAAAGTATGGTCGTCACCATATTAAATATGGGATAAGGGTATAAATTTAGTTCTGATCTTAAATGGGAAAGAGGTGATATTTCAGTGCCCCTGTTCCATCCGACGGTGTGTCGATATATAATAATTGGACATACATTCTGGTTTTATGAAGGGACAATTCCTGACGCAATAATTTTTAATGATACGCAGTCTGTATTCCTATTTTACTCAAAAGGTGTTTCCGTTTCATTGAGGAGGCATGATTCCAAGTTGTGGATCTGGTGTTGCCTTTTTCATTTGCTAATTTTCGCTTATGGATATCCTGCTCATTCTGGAAATTTTATTGGTTGGGGTTTTTGCACCCTAAAATTTTACAGAACAGATTCATCACCTTAAATATTTTAGAGCGCTGAACGAAGCCTTAATTGACATAAATCAGGATTCAAGAGGAGGCAGGGTTCCTCCCTTAGTTTACATGGTAACTGAAGGGTTTACAAATCTAGAATATGACGCTGACATCCGAGACTTTAAATTTGCCTTGGATCACCACTTTCTAGAAAAGTGCTCCATAACTATCGCCTTCAACGTAATGGTGTGGCAAGACTGGAATAAAATTCGATACATTTCCAGCAAAGATACTCACAGAACGGAGCAATTCCAGAATTTTTTAGTAATAAATAAATCCCTGAAAACTTCCCTTTCTACGAATTACGACTATAAGTTTCCAGGGAAACCGTTTCTAGTGGTTGTCAAGGGTTTCAAGGAGAACCCTGAAGTCCGGTTGGAATTAGAGTTTTACTTTTACTGTGTATACTGTCCAGGTATTGGGATTCTGCGGTTGCCCAAAAGCTTTAACCCGGCCTTAGTTAATCCATCTTGTTTTCCGTGGCTCTTCATAAAATTCTGGATCTCTGCCTCCCTGCCCTCCATGAGTGTAGCTGAATACGAAAATTGCAAAAAACAGGACTGGCTGAGGAAACTATACTATTGTGAAGAGGACTTTAAAACTGTACAATATCTTATTGAAGCAACAAATTTAACTTTTATGTTTGATAGAAATTTGGCCACGGCGTACGCCAATCGGTATGGTTACATCTCCCTGGGGCCGATAGATGTGGGACCGTATAGAGTAGTAAATCAGTTAAAGTTCGCTTTCGCCAGAGGCCACTCCATCTTTTACTGTAATTTTGATAAGATTGGGGAGAATACGGATCTTGCAACGTGGTTTCAACCATTCCAAGGATTTATTTGGCTTTGGTTAATTTTCTCTGTGATATTGTCCTACTTTTTGTTTGCTGCATTTAGAGAAAGAAAGAATAGCAATGTTTGCAAGTTAATGGGACGTTTTGTTCTTCTATTTAAAGAACCGGTGAAAAGTCCTCTTACATTGAACGTCATGCTAATCGTGCTTCTACAACTTTTAGCTGTGCACTACGAATACTTTTTTACTTCGAGACTAATTGTTCCTCCGCATTTTAAGGAATTGTTGACGCTAAAAGAATTTTTCGAAAACAAATTTATCTTACTTTATGACATTCCTGCCAAACGCGATTCTGATTTACGTCCTTGGAATTTTTTTATCCTGGAGGATTTTAAAATCCAGGGCATACCACGGGAACAGTTTAAGTCTTTTAAAATAGTTGAACAAATGCTGACACTGGATGATATCTCGAAATATATTTCGCCAGAGGGGCATAGGAAGAAAATTGGATTCTACCGTAACTCTAATTATCAAGAGAACCTTCGAGTTGCCATGGAAACGACGTATAACAATTTGTACAAGTGTTATATTGCCAAAGACGTTGGAGAAATTAGATGGTTTTATTTTGTAATTCAGACCGTTTTAGCTGAAAAGATTGTGAGGCCGTTAAATAATTTGGGAGAGTTTGGGATTTACAATGGTTGGATTAAGTGGTTCGAACAGACGCACCAGTACAGGTTGCTTGTCGGGTTAAATAATACTGGGCCAAAGGCACAGGATTTTATTACTTTTAATAACCTTTCCAAATTTTTCATACTTTATTGTTCAATGTTGGCTACGTTTCTTTTGGTCTTTGTGGTGGACAAGATTTGCAAGATTTTTTCAGTGAAGCAGAAAATACTAATCGAGAGACCTCAATTCATTAATGTGAGGACGATGTAAAGCAGGCCGGATGTTGTTAGAATTTTAAACTTTTAAACTTGATTTCTCCAGCATTGCGCTGCCAAAGAATCCCAAATTAGCGCGGCTGCCTCAAATTTGGCGGCGTCAACCTCTGGAGTAAGGCTTTTAAGTTGCAGTGCATCCGAGCAGGTTAAGAAACGGTTTGGGGCAGATTTTCACAGAAATTTGCTCTCGTTTCAGAGATTAGTAATAATTTTGAATCTAGTTGTGGTAAAAAAAGTGTTATTTTTTGCCTGATACTAAGCGAACATGTGAACACGAGGAATAATTGTTGTTTATTTTATTAAATCTTAGCATAAGTTGTATCGCAGAGTATGTGAAAAAAATATGTATCACAAGAATTATCGCAAAAGACTGACTACGCAAGAGTCGCACAAAAAGGTCCCTAACTTAAAAACGCAGAAAAATCGCAGAAAAATCGCAGAAAAGGTCCGTAAGAATGGGAGAGAGAAACGGACTACAAGTAATGCATTTCCTCCAGTTCCATTCCTGGAGGAAGTGTACCTAGAATCGAGGCAACGTTCCCACGTTGCGCGGCGAGCGAAACCCGCTGGCGTAGAAAATTCACGGCGTTCGTTTGTCCAGTTGTGGCGGCGATCCTCTGGCCAACTTGGAGGATGAAGGCCAGTCCCTCTTGGCCCCATACTCCCGTGGTCTCCATGGCAACGGGGACAAAAATGTATCGGTCCATAAGGAACGCGTACCTCTTCTTCTTGCGGTCCTCTGCCTTGCTGGCGGCAGCGTCCTGATGGCGCACGGTGTCTGAGAGGTAGCTGGGGGCGAATGTGTCCGCGCAGGTGAAGTCCCAGACAAGGGACCTCCCCCGCGACCAAGGGACAAGGGTCAACCCGTCGGGACGCTTGCCGTCCGTAGTGGAGCACCCCGCGGGCTCCCTAATGCAGGGTACTTCGGCAGACCGGAGGGCTCTTGCGATGACGTCGTTGGCGGGCTCATGGCGGGACCAACGACCCTTACTTCGGCGGCAGGAGAGGCCGTGGTAGCCTCGGGAGGTGACCTGCGCCCCGCACGGGCACTTGTGGGGCTCGCAGATATCGCAGCCGAGGCGGAGGGCGATGGCGACACGGAAGGTCTCGTTGGGGAGGAGGGTCCCCAGTTGTGGAGAGGGGAGGGCGTTAAGCCATACCCCGGCGTATTTGTCGCGGAGGGAACGTAGGCGGGCAGTATCCTTCGGGATCACTGCCACGGCCGAATGCGCCGAGAGGTTGAGGAGTCGATGGGAGAAGGTGGCCAATTGTTGGGTCTTCGTGGCCAAGACCACTCCAAAAGCTTCGTTGGTTAGGGGGGCGCCCAGCAGCATCGCGGATTCAGGGGACATCAGCTGGATTCCGGGGGCAACTTGTTGGAATTGGAGGCGAATGTCGATGGCGGCCTCCCGCTCCGCCCCCAGGATGCCCACTTCACACTTGTCGTGGTTGAGATGCAGGCCCATCTCACCACTCATCCTAGCAATGGTTGCCAGGGCCGTCAAAACCTTCTCCGGTGTGTCCCCGATGGCCCCATCGTCGAGGAATAATTAGTAATTACCCTTGTAATTTATTTAGGAATTTAAAATAACGATTTTTAACTTAATGTGTAAGTATTATCGGGTATCATATATGTAAAAGGTAACCTAAATGCACACATTAAGAAATAATTTATTTGAATGTGTATGGAATTATTTACTTCCGAATCAGATTAATCCCTCGGTTCGGAATCTGTAAAAACAAGTCGGTTGAAGCATGACGATTTTGGTCAAGGGTAAAAATATAGTTATTGCGTCCTGTTGCATTTGCTGAATCGTGCATAGATTCAGGAAAATTTCCTCAGTGAAATAATTTACTTTACTAGATATGTATCTCTGAATTGCCCTGAATTGCATATGCATGTATTCCTCTACCATTCAACTCTAAGTTACAGATATTAAGATTATTCAAAAATTTGTCATGCAAACATGTCGAAAAAATATTTCTTTACATAAAATTATTTCGATTTAAAAATGAAAAAATTATTCAGTCCTTAATCATTTATTCAAAATTGAAAAATACATTTTTTTTTATTGTGCATTACTGATTTTTTGATTCATTTTATACCAAGTTCCCCTATTCTCCAATGTGTTAAGCATACGGTAAGAAATTAATAGTGACAAAAATGATGCATTAATTCTTCGTGGATATGAAATAAATAAATACTTCTTTATATAGAAGAATAAAAGTTATTCCTGCATTACATATTCATGATTTTATTTATTTATTTACACTCAAAACAAAAATTTGTCAAATCAACACCGCCGGTGTCAATATATGCCTTAACCGCCTTGGTTACAATAGTGATTCCGAGTTATGATGATTTTGATACCGGTGGTTGTTATATTATGACCGGACGGAAAAAATTTTATTACAACTCGGAATCACAATTGTAAATAAGGCGGTTAAGTCATATATTGACACCGGCGGTGTTGATTTGACAAATTTTTGTTTTGAGTGTATTAAATAACGTATTAATTCTCTATTAAATAATCGAATCTAATCGCATGCAGCTATGTATGCATAATAAACGCATGGATGGATGCCCAACATTAAACATACATACACTCGTATTTCTCCACATTGCATGAAATCGATTGCGTGAACAAAGACAAAGCCAGGCCACGAACCGAGTCGAATTTAACTCGTATGCAGTGGATGGATGGAAACCTTGGGAGATGATAAAGTCTGTCTGTCCACACACTATCCACGATCGGGGAGACAGTGATTTTCAGCTGTGAGGAGAGTTACCCGGAACCGGAAAGTTGCACATAAATATACATCAAAAATGTAGATAATTGCGAAATTTTTGCAAAAATGTGTGTACAAAGATTTCTTCATGAATTGGAGAGTCCGACAGAGAGAAAGCTATGATATTATGGCAAAAGTTTTAGTCAAAAGTGCAGTATCAGTTTGATAAAAAATTTGCAATAATTAATTAATTTTTGCCAATATGGAGCGATTGTGTTTGATATTTTGCATTTTCCTGACCCACTGCTACGCCAGCGAGGAGGATGAGACGTCAAGTTCAAAATTAAATCATACCAAGGACCATGGCTTGCACATTGCGAAATTTGATTTCGAACTGGTCCAAACTCCATATCTCATCGCACTTTGGATACTTGCGGCTAGTGTGGCGAAAATTGGTGAGAATTATGTAATAAATTTCTAAAATTAGTAAATTTACGAAATTATTTGTTACGGGGAAAATATCAAAGTCTGAATTTAATATGTACACATTAAACCGGCCGGCAATGCGAAAGGATTTAATTTAAAAGATTTTCTTGTTGCTCGTTAGCACTGAAATTACATTAATAAATTGCACTCTTAAAAATAATGTTGCATTTTTGAAGAGTAAATGTATGTACTTTAAGTAATCTATACTACACTAAAAAAATTGTCAAATCAACACCACCGGTGACAATGTATGACTTAACCGCCTTGGTAACAATTGTGATTCCGAGTGGTAGTGAAATTTTTCCGTCCGGTCATAACATTATAACTACCGGTATCAAAATCATCATAACTCGGAATCAACATTTTAACCAAGGTGGTGTTGATTTGATACATTTTTGTTTTGAGTATACTGCAAGAATAAACTTCAGACGTTGTCAAGTTAACATACTCATTTATTTATTATAGTTGAATTATTATGAAATTTAGCATGCCTTTACATAAATTTCGAGATGGTAACAGGATTTATAAGTGTGCATGTACATTTGTCAATATGTACATAAGTACAGACATACCTACATATTTCTTACCGTGTTAAATATTCCATTTATACATTGCTGCTAAAAACTGTAGTTAAGAGGCTTGGTTGCTATGGTAACCATGCTTACATACATATGTAGAAAACAAAGTAATTATTGACATTAGCATGTAATGGATATGTATGTAGCTTTGCGTTTGCGCATGAATGCTTGTGTGTTAGGAATTCGTAGTGTTAAATTTATGTGTGGGATAATTTTAGTTCGGCATTTATTATTAGCTAACGTCACGTGATTTATGTTATTCTTCCATAATCTTCACACGGACAAAACACATTAACATTATGTCATGAAATATCGTATTTGTCAATGTGCTTTTAATTATTGACCCCTTGTCGAGTCCGAAATAGGGGTTCGTGTGGTCATAAAAAGATGATGATCCTGGCATGAGATCTAAAGGCCAAATTAGAGCTTAATTTTCATATTCGGGGTCACTTTAAAGCACATTTTTACCACAAATTGGATTCCGTCAATATTTATTTTTGACAACCGACAAATCCATACAATACAACCGTGTGGACCAGGTCACAACAGTGACAGCGGAAGCCGTGGGGACATCGGAGGACATTAACATTGTAGGATAGGTGGGAGGGCTTTGTAATATGGGCAGATGGTGAAGACATTGGGAACTGTGGGGACATATTGTCCCTCTGTCCTAACGCTTCCGCGGCCAATGGGTCACAGATGAAAAACATACATACATCGTGGTGTCCCCGTGAAGGAAATTTCAGTCACTTTTGCGCTACTTCTATGTATATCCGTTTAATTACAGAAGTATTTATTTTTATGCAAATTTCAGGCTTCCACCTTGCCCCCTCGCTCAACACGATATTTCCCGAGTCATGCCTGCTCATCTTCGTGGGTCTCATTGTGGGTGGGGTGCTCGCGTTTGTCGGCGAAAATCCGATGAGCCTCACCCCCCACACTTTCTTCAACTTTATGCTTCCCCCAATTATCCTGGATGCGGGTTATTTTATGCCAAATCGTCTCTTTTTCGATAACCTCGGTACCATTTTACTCTTCGCCGTGGTGGGGACGTTATGGTCCACGTTTGCCGTTGCGGGGTCCCTGTGGGGGTTGTCATCCTGGATGGGCGGGTTTGGGGGGAAGGAACTCCCCATATTGCAGTGCCTTTTGTTCAGCGCGCTAATCTCGGCGGTGGACCCGGTCGCTGTGTTGGCCGTGTTTGAAGAAATCCATGTGAACGAGTTGCTCTATATTGTGGTTTTTGGAGAGTCCCTGCTCAACGATGCCGTCACGGTGGTAAGAGAATTTATTTCGTAATTATATAAGCGTGCGGTTGGACAGAGTTGCATGCATAAATTGTGTCTTGAAAATGATTTGAAACTTATTTTTGGGCTTAAAGTGCGAGATTTTCGTATTTACGCAAGAATCAAACTTCCATAAATTGTGAAATGTATTTAAACCCTAGTACAATTTTGTAAATTTGGAAATGTAAATTCACGCAGTCCTTCATAGCATTGTAAATTGTGAAAGCTTGTTTTACAAAATTACAAAAATTGTTTCTAAGGAAAATTAACTTGTGGTAAGTTTTTGTAAACTTAAGTACATAAAAGACCCTACTTAATGTTACGTTAAACTTTGTAAAATTATTTCATAAGACTTTCGGTTATTGGGGTTGCCAATGACTTGGTTAATGTTAATTTTCCAAAGATTTGCGGGGTTTGGTGACTATGCAAATTTTTTGCAAATTCCAGATTTGCAAATTTTAAACAGTTAATATTGAAGTCGTACATATTTTAAGATATATAAGTATTCATAGATTATACATTTTTCAGGCTCTGTACGAAGTCTTTGAGGAATACGCCATCATGGGACCTGATAATGTCTCAGCTTTCGAAATCCTCAAAGGATTCGGAAAGTTCCCCGTCGTCGCGTTGGGTGGGACGTTTATTGGGATTGTGGCGGGACTAGCGATCGGTTTTGTGACCCGGTTAACCACCAATACGAGGGTCATGGAACCTCTAGTCATATTCGTGATGGCTTATCTGGCTTACTTATCGGCGGAAATGTTTCACTTGTCGGGAATTATGGCGTAATGAGATATTTAATTAGTAGTTACTTATTTCCTGCACGCGTTTATAGTTTTATATAGCTCCTAATTCTTGCAGAAATCACGCATGCAACTAGTGCAAAGTTCTGTAAAGAATTATGCAGAAGAAAGTCCTTAAAATCATATCTGAATGCAAAATTTGCATTACTCTGCAGTACCTTTTGGATATAAACTAGCGCAAAAGCCCGTCTCCCGCCGGGCGACGGGCTTATTTGATTTTCGTGAAAATTAGTAGGATTGTTCAAAATTCCATCGAATTATTTTATTGTATCTATATTATTAGCTGGAAATGTCTGTTGGCAAGGGAAATGAAGCTTTCTTCACTATCACTTCCGTCACGGAAAATTGCTTTCACTTCCGTTGCAGACAAACATTTTCAGCTTATAATGTAGATGATTATGTATTATGTATTTAAATGCAAAGTTTTTCCTCGCTGCACAGTTTCTCTGCAGAAAAATGAGCCACATTTTTGCACAAAAGTTTTTCTGGTTTTCTGCATTAAAGTTAAAATTTTCCTGAAATATGTAAATGATTTTGAAGAAAATTTCTGTCTGATCTATTCTGCAGAGCAGCTTTCTAATAATTAGTCACAATTCTTCATAATTTGTGCACGTACCTATGTATGTACGTATCCATCTGCATGCAGTTTTTATGCAAAAAATGTCAATTTCTTGCATGACAGAGTGGAAATTTTCATACGGCTTATGTATCTTTGTATATATTGTCCAGGGCCACCTTTTGCGGGTTAACCATGAAGAACTATGTGCGAGCCAACATTTCTCAAAAATCCTTAACCACTTTGAAATATTCCATGAAAATGCTGAGTTCCGGGGCGGAAACGATAATTTTTATCTTCCTCGGAGTCTCCACCGTGAACGGGGATCACGTCTGGAACACGACTTTTGTCGTGGCTACGATTTCCTTTTGCACGCTGTACCGCGCCGTGGGGACTTTCGCCCTCTCCTGGATTGCCAACCATTTCCGTCTCGAGCCAATCGGTGGCGTGGATCAGTTTGTGGTCGCGTATGGCGGACTGCGCGGCGCGGTTGCGGTCGCATTGGTGCTATTAATTGACAAAAATGCGACCCTGTTTGACGAAAAGTTGAGAAGCATGATGGTCACGACGACGATTGCGGTAATTTACTTCACGGTGTTTGTGCAGGTATTTACATAATTGTGTCAAGGTTCTGGAAGGAAGCCAAATTTCAAAGTTGAAAAATATTTTGAATTTAGGGAATGACGATAAAACCGATTGTTGAGTGGTTACATGTAACAAAATCGGAGAAAAGGAAACCCACGATGAATGAAAGGGTGCATGAAAAGGTACATAAAAGTAAAATCACCCTTAAAAATAATGGTACTTTTAGAAAAATAGATTCACCCTAAATTCTACATATATTAGGTAAACTATGTATTCTAGCTTCGTAGTAAACCTTACTCTTTATCAGGCTCACGGTGCCCTGGATTTAGCAAAGTTAGGGTAATATATAATTCAGAGTGCGCTATTTAATGATCAAAAGGGTAAAATTAATTTTAAGAGTGTAGTTGAAATGTTTGCTAACTCTCGGAATGTAGTAAGTGTTTAAATATTTGGGTAAGATCTTAACCTAGATCAATAATTCGATAGAATGACGAAAATTTGTGGAATTTCTCATACATGAATAATTTATTTATCGATTTAACTTTCCACAGGAAAGTTTACATACTTTTTTATTTCGTTTTATTAACCCTTTAAACTATAACAAAGACAATAGTCGTTTTTTGAGAATGGTTTAATTCGGGAGTAAGACAAAAGTCGTCCTAAAAAATCGTGGTCATGGCGCGGAAGGAAGACAATTGTCGTTTCTAGGAGGTCATTGATTTTCACCATTTTCTCTCCGCGACCTAAAATTTGCAATTTTGAGGGATTTCTCCTATACCAACACAATGCTAAACTTGAAGATTTTCTTCCCAAAAATTTGGATATTTCCCTATACAACGCAATGTTAAATTTTTGCTTTTTCAGTTTTTCGAGTTTTATTAAAACTCCTGAATTTCTCCTCCCGCGCCAGGACCACAACATACCTATAGCGTCTCCGATTTAATGCATTTTCTTGTTGCTAATCATACACGTTAAAAGGCTAAGATTACCAAGCTACATGGTCTCTAAATAAGAGAGATTTTTGATAGCATTTCAATCAAATTTTTTTTAGACCATGGAACACTTAATGACTGGCATGGAAAGCATTGCGGGTCACATGGGGAAATACAATTTACGTGCGAAGCTTCGAGCCATAAATGACTCCTACATAAAACCATACCTCCAAAGGTGTGAGAACGGAGTGGACGCGAAGGACACGAAAATACTGGAGACGTATTCCAAATTGATGATGGAGGATATGAAAACTGTGACCATAATGGGACCTGGAGGGAAGCAGTTGAGACATCAGGACTCAGTAATGCGGGCAAAAAAGAGACTTCACATTGATGACGGGATTGGTACTAGTGATACGAATGAAGACCAAGCACCGGAGTATGATTCCAATCTTTTTTTGCAAATTTAATAACAAAAATGACAAAAAATATTTGAGCGCATTGATAAAACACGCAAATTCTAAAATAATATTTGTGAAATTGTCACGAATGAATTTTTTTAATGCGCGTCTCCTATGGTGGAGACGTTCGTAAACTTCATAACGGCCAAAAATATATCTTTTTGGACACCTACGCCCCCTTTTTAACATGTGCCGTTTTTAACATTGACCGCTGACCACCCAACCACTCTTTCTTTGTGTTACGAAGTTTACGAAGGTCCTCGATCTACTCTCTCAAGTTTTAACCAAAGTTCAATCCGTCACAAATTTAATTAAAATTACAAAACTTAGAATCTGGAAATGTTTAGCTTTGACAAAAAAAAATATTTGTACCCGAGGAGTAGAAACCGCTAAGTAAATTAAGAATGTGTAAAATTTGCCACCTTTAGGGCGCATTTTTTCCTTTTCGTATGCAAATATCTCGAGCGTTGTCAGGTTGTGTAGCTTGCTACCTAAATTTGTAAAAGCAAATTGACCCAAATTTGGTCACAATTAAACGGTATAATTTGTATGATCTCCATTACCAGTTGATGGATGCAGACATACATTTGTGGTCTGAGCAAATTGTACTAAAGTGATTTCATTTTATGAATTCGAAACAGTGTCGTCAAAATGGACGAACTGCTCGAGAAAGGATTACAAGAGAAAAATGCGTATCGCCGTTGCAGCTACAGCCGGCACTCCCTTCAAGACACGGATGCCCAAGCCATGCTGGATTTAAGGCTCAATTTGAAATCAGCGCCAGCGCGAAAGAAGGGCGAACTGGCTAAAATGCGACAATGGAAAACAGTGGATGTCGAAGATGACGGTAATTGATTCATTGAATTTGATTGACTTTTTGGTTTTTTAAAAATTTATTTTTTTAAAATTTCTTCATTGTCTTGTTCAAAAATATTCCTGCTAATAAATCGCTGCATTTAGGAGCACACTGCTCAATGCTGCTACAACGAAGATGTTCCGAAGGAGGTCAATCATCTACGACGGACTTAAACAAAAAAACTCCGAAGAAAGAAGCTGGTCGACCCCCACGAAGTGCGCCACCTGTCGGAAAAAGCTCCGTATCGCAATTCAAGTTCGATACTGCCTCCTCAATTCCGGAAGACGATGAAGAAAACGTTTTCGAAGATGGTCCTGGTGCTATGAAACGTTCTGGTTCTCTGGGAAATATTAATTAAATTATAGCAAAAATTTCCATGAAAATTACGGTGCTTATGTATGAATAAGAATTTATTCCTTTAATTTGTTTTCGTTCCAAAGATTGAGCTTCCTTTGCAAAAGAGTGATTTTATAGACTCAAATAGGACACAAATAATGATAATAGTTCTTAGCTGATTTATTCAGCCAGCCAGGTGTGATTACTAATGAGTAAGAATTAAATGATTCGACAAGCAGATCCGCCGACTATTTCAAAAGTACAAATACTCTATTGGATTATGTTCCCCACATGAAACGAATTAAAACTTAGCAATTTTTTCGGGCGCCAAAATTTCCTTTGGGGGGTTATGAGAATAATGGGAGATAAATGTGGTGCACATAGGGCACAGCATATCTATGAAATGGGTTGATGAAATTTCAAAAAAAAAATTTTTTTACACTCTATGGATCAGTACCCCCATAGGTTTTTCGAACTGAGGTGGAATTCCGACTTTGAGGGGCTTTTCACAGCGACGCAAAATTGGCTCAGAAATTAATTTTTCGCTATAACGAAAAAGTATGACGAAATGTTCATACATTAGCTTTTCACCAACTTTTACTACATTGCAAATTATTAGTAGTAGAATAAAGGTTAAATTACCCAGAAAGTCGAAATCGACCTGCGTGACCTTTTTCGGGGATCGAAAGGTCACAATGTCAAAGGTCACATAGCCACATAAATGGGGTATCGTTGGAAAGGTATTGGCGAGAGGATTCAGAATATGTATACTTTGTGGGGCCTGAAACCACTCCCTGCAAGTCTAGAGGCCAAAGAACGAAAATCGGCAGTTGTCCAGAATTTAACACAGCAGTGGATTGGGAGCTAACACGGAAGCATGCATGGGAAAAACTCAAAAATATTCTTTTGGCTCTATGTTTGCAGGGAGTGGTTTCAGACCCCACAAAGTATACATATTCTGAATCCTCTCGCCAATACCTTTCCAACGATACCCCATTTATGTGGCTATGTGACCTTTGACATTGTGACCTTTCGATCCCCGAAAAAGGTCACGCAGGTCGATTTCGACTTTCTGGGTAATTTAACCTTTATTCTACTACTAATAATTTGCAATGTAGTAAAAGTTGGTGAAAAGCTAATGTATGAACATTTCGTCATACTTTTTCGTTATAGCGAAAAATTAATTTCTGAGTCAATTTTGCGTCGCTGTGAAAAACCCCTCAAAGTCGGAATTCCACCTCAGTTCGAAAAACCTATCGGGGTACTGATCCAGAGAGTGTAACAAAATTTTGTTTTTGAAATTTCATCAACCCATTTCATAGATATGCTGTGCCCTATGTGCACCACATTTATCTCCCATTATTCTCATAACCCCCCCAAAGGAAATTTTGGCGCCCGAAAAAATGCTAAGTTTTAATTCGTTTCATGTGGGGAACATAATCCAATTAAGTATTTGTACTTTTGAAATAGTCGGCGGATCTGCTTGTCGAATCATTTAATTCTTACTCTAATGCAGTATTTTAACAAGTATAGTCGAATGTTACGATTGTAGCATTTAGATTAAAAACTATCAAGCATCGTTGTTAAGAGTTTGTGTACTGTAAAACTTGACAAGTTCATATTAACAAGTACGAAATATAACATAAAAATTCCAGATTGACAACGATAAATGAAGATCATTAATAATAGACGGGTATGAGGCTTGTCATAGTAAGCATGTGTATGGTACCAAATAGTCAATTGTTCTAGAAAAATGACAGTACATACATATATACGTCACAAATTATTCAAAAGAAAGAATAAAAATTATTCGCTTAGTAAGTTTAAAGGAGTTATCTCTCAGGAGGGGAGCTTGCGAGGTTGATAATAACAGATCTTGATGCCCTTTGGATATGTGGTAGGGACCCATGAGTGTATTAAAACCCTGAATTGGTTTGACTCCATGGCCACATTTACGCCCGCCACACCCACTCAAAAATGCCCAAAAAACGCTTTCACTCCAGTTTTCACTCACTCAAATCCACGCCAAAAATCCAATTTTACTCGGATTTTGAAATTTCTTTCACCAATATACTCCCAGATAGTTTCTTTCTTCAATCCAATATTAAACTCAATTTTTTCGAAATTTTTAGTATTTTTAAAATTTAAATTTCTGAATGAGCATTGTTGTAGCAATCAACAAGGCAAATTATGCCTGCGAAATAATAATCAGCAAAATTGAGTTTGATATTGGATTGAAGAAAGCAACTATCGGGGAGTATATTGGTGAAAGAAATTTCAAAATCCGAGTAAAATTGGATTTTTGGCGTGGATTTGAGTGAGTGAAAACTGGAGTGAAAGCGTTTTTTGGGCATTTTTGAGTGGGTGTGGCGGGCGTAAATGTGGCCATGGAGTCAAACCACTTCAGGGTTTTAGTACACTCATAGGTCCCTACCACATATCCAAAGGGCATCAAGATCTGTTATTATCAACCTCGCAAGCTCCCCTCCTCAGCGGTCAAAAAATTTTGTCGCGAAAAACGTGCGTTGTCATTAAGGAAAAGATTGTTTCGTTATGTGCGGAGCACTAATAAAAACTTGGGACATCAGTTATCACAGGGGAGCGTCCATAAATCACGTGATCGATCATAGGGGGGGGGAGGGATCTGAAATTTGTCACGTTCTATCACCATGGGGGGGGGGGGGGGGTAATGGTCAGCAGTCACATGACATACCACGAAAAGTTTTTCTTTTAATTTGGAATGTAAATAAACCTGATGACTAGCTTCAGAAAAACCGGTACATGGTGTTGGACGAGTTGTCGCAAAACTCAAAACGCTCTTACACGTGTCCAATATAATTACAAATTAAGGTATACATGTTCGCGCGTTTTTTCTCAATGTGCCCCAATTATTTTATATCACCCCAAATACTGGAAAAAATCATTGTGACGCTTCTAGTATGCTGATTTCTGCCAAACTTGGCAAGCTTTCCTTATTTGGGATCGCCCACAGTGCCTGAGAGAATTGGCCCCCTAGGTTGAAATTTATAATGCCAATTACCTGACAATTTTGACAATTTTTTTCGTTTTTTCGACATATTTTCCTAGTTTATGGAATGGTATCCTTCTAGCTTCATATCTCTACAGAAACCCTATATTCTGCTTCGAATACCGTTTACCCGAACCTGATAGCGAAACTATTAAGGGTACTTTGTAGGGAGATCGATTTTCATACATGTTCCACCGAAATACCAATAATGCTAATTCTTTCCATTAGTATCAGTCCCACCTACCCCAATTTTTGACATCTTCTACATATTTAGTAGTCGAACAATTGTTGATTGCAAAAAAGGTCGAAATCGACCTGTTTGACCTATGTTCAGGGGGTGGGGGAAGTTGTCGGGAGATCAAGTCTCACATAACCCCATAAGTGGGGTATCGTTGGAAAGGTCTCGGTGAGAGGATTCAGAATATATATACTTTGTGGGGTCTGGGACCACCCCCTAATAATTTAGAGACAACGTAGTAGTAATGAGTTTTATTTTTCCAGGTATACAGCTGTTAACACTGGAGCAGATTGAGAGCTAACATAGCAGTAGATTGATGAAAACTCACGTTGATGAAATTGATGAAAACGTTTAGCGGCAATACCGGCTTGAATTCGTCTGAACATCGACTCGACCAATCTTTTAGTGACACTCAGGTCGATATTCCCCCACTCTTCTGTGCTTATGGTTTTCAGATTAGCTGGATTTATAGGTTTCCATCATGCCGCCAAACATGTTCACCGTACCTATGAATGCTCGATCGGGATGAGGTCAGGAAATTAGGAATTCCAGTCCAAAATCTTCATTTTATTTTCCTTGAGACATTTTCAGATAATTTTTGTAATATTTATAAAATTCTCGCAATATTGGAAGATAAATCTCTGACAAAAGTCCTCTTTCGCTGCAAATCGACAAGGATTTATTTTTAGCAAATCAAGAAAAGCCTCGTTTGTCATGATGTCAGCGACTCATTTCAATGTTCCTACCCCGTCCTATCGGAAACTGCCTCAAACCATTACATTCCGGCAAGAATTCGAAAGTTTCACACCACATACTAAATGTACAGGCAGCAAAGATTTTCCTTGACACGTGTATTTTTAACAATTGCCTCAGAAATCAATTGTTCGCACTTTTGTTTGGCCTCTGCCACATTCTGGTAACTCTGTCTGAACCAGGAAGTTTAATTTTGATCTCATCCAAGAAGAAAAAAAATTTCCTGTCACAAGCGGAACTTCTGTATTTTGCCTTCTTAACGCTAATAATTTCTTGTGGTATCCCACTGAGATCTTAGGTGTTTATTTTGCCAAATCTCTCGATAATTCAGCGAATAGCGGCCTGTTTCTAATCTTTTATAAGTGAACATCTGTAAAAGGGTCCCTTTGGATACCTCGCAAGGTTTGGTGTGAACAGACGAGGACCATCCTAACAATTCTCATATGTCTCGTGTCATGACGCGGAGATGTACGGCTTTTTGGACGCTGGTCGTAATGGCAAAAATGAGTTGCAATCTAATCCCATTTTTTGCACAATATATGGTACAGGTTGTCTTGAAATTTAAAGTTTTTGGCCAATTTTTCCATAACTTTGCACATTTTAACTTTAACATTTTCTGCCAGAATTTCTAGATTGACCTCGTTCTTATTTACTATTTGATATACAATTTTCACAAAATATTTTTTATTGACAACTCAAATAACTGTTCTTACCCATAATAAGCAATCCCGAATGAAGTTTGCCTTTAGAGTGACAGACTGGGCCGTTATCACAATTAAGCTCGCCTGCATCTACAATTTTGTGGCGTGCAATTTGCAATTTTTTGACATTTAAATATCTATAACTTTATAATTTTTAGACGAATTCATTTGAAATTTTGCACGATTGTAGTACGAAATATTGTTGATAATTGGTGTAAGAATCAGTTTGAAATATTAACCCGTCTTGGAGTATTTCTGATTTGTATAATGCATGCATGCACTGCATCAACAATTAAGTGGAATACTGTAGGTATCTACAGCAGCCCAGAGAAATTTAACTAATTAGAAATTTAATTTAGAAATTTATTTGTTCAAAATTCTTCAGTGACAACCATGCTCAACTTTTTATTAATTTTTATATCAAGTGCATTTATTGGTTTTGGTAATTATTAAAGGCTAGATATTGCAATTATTTTTTCCGAACTAAATTACTGTTTGGGGAAACAATAACAATAACGCCCGAGAATCTGTTTTCCACCTTTTACCGACTCGTAATCTAAGTGGAAATTATTAGCCATTAGATTACTTTTGAGCACCTTCGACCACTATGGACGTTTTTAACCACCATCAAGTCCAAGATGATTTTGGTTGCAAAGTAAAACACTGATGTATTTACACACCGATTTTTTATTATCCAGAATTTTTAACCCCAAGTTTTACAAAGATATAATTTGATTGTCGGAATGAACCAAATAAATATACTTCATTTTATCCCATCGATAAGCTTGTTACTTAATCCTTTTACTTACAAGCTGTAAACAAATTATGTTATAAATACCCAATTTAATGTAGACATTGGTCAAACTCTCTTACATACGTTTAAAATAAGATACGCATGGCATACCTAAGAGGGAGATGCAAATTAATAAATTCAATGTCTCAAACAATAACACATTTTTCTTTCAATAGTTTCAGAATACTCCGTCTAGGAGCCGTTCTAGCCGTCGCATCAGCCCTTGACGTTGATTCAAGTACATTTCTATAGCTCGCGTAAATTTCAGACGGCGATATCAAATCTGTTGTTAAGCTTCCACCATAAATATATTTGCAAGCCTTGTTGAATGGTTCGACAAGTTCAGGGTTGATTGTGTTTATTATACAGGGTGGTTAAAATGTCACGCCACAATGGAAAATTTTTCGATGGGAAAAATCCATAAATTTCCATTAGTTACCGAAATTTTGTCTCTAAAATGCAACATTTTAAGAATTTTGTCATCAGTTTTGATAATAATTTATAAAAATCTCAATCCCAAATCTTGTAACTAATGGAGATTTAGGGACTTTTCCCATTGAAAAATTTTCCATTGTGGCGTGACATTTTAACCACCCTGTATAACCAATGCCTTGCAAGCCTAACTGACTTGTTAGCACGGTTGGATGTTCGTGGATGGATTCGAGCCATTTCTTCGTCCTTGTTGGGTCCATTTGTTGTATATTTGTGCAATGAAATTTTACGTCTCCACCGTCCATTTCAGTTGTGGCTGTATTGTAACTGGTCTTGTTTTCTGAACTTGACTGCCACCCACCCTCGGCACCTGCTTCGCTACTTATATTGCTTAATCGGCACTGTTGATCAAAATTTACAAAATTTTAATGTTCGAAAAATGAATTAAATGAATTTTACTGTCATATGAAATTCTTGAAAAGTGCAGTCGTGAAAAGTTACATCCCTATGATCGTGGAACAAATTTATCAACTGTACACAACTTCATTTTTCAAAAAGCTCCAGTGAGCATAAAAAATCAGTTTTCCAACTATTAAACTGATGAGGATGAGATTGGTCAACTTGATAAAATGAAAACACGGAGAAAATAATTTGTCTTAGAATTGATGAGAATATTTTGCTGCCCCGTTTTGATCGAAAATTAATGTGTTGGAGCAGTCATTTAGTTCATTTTTTGTAAATTATGTTTTTTTTGCGTACGTGCTCGAGGAAACGTGTATGACCTGTAGTCTTTTAGTCTGCTTAGAGTTCTCTTTTAGTTTTCCTCTTAAGCACACACACACATTATTGCAAGGTGTGATTTTTTCTCTATCTGAAGTTAATTAAGTGAGAAATAAATAATTAAAGGTGCTTAAGTGTCCGAAAGTCATCGTTTCCTTGCATTTAGTTTAATTAAATGTTCCATGGAACTGCCACTCAGTTTTTATATTGAATATCTTTCACCGGTAAGGCGGCTGCCCTACTTTAGAATTTGCTTTAGTTATATAACTGTCTGGTCAAAAAGCTTTTGACCTAGTCAACATGATCTAAACATATGAACACTATCCTGATAATTGTGGACTGTATAGAATATCCTATTATATATATGTATGTATGTATGTATATCTTGCCTGATATGATTTCCAACAATTCTCTACCACCACTATTTCCAAAATTTGTTTTTTTTTACACAAACCTGAATTTCTCCCAAAATCTGATGCATTTTTTCTTTGGAATCCTCAGATGATTTGCAGGATACCGTTGCAGTGCAGGATCCACCAGCCAATGCTTCGAGGATTAAGTGAGTCCCGTATCTGTCCAGAAATGCGTCCCACTTGGCTAAATTTACGTCATCGCTTTGATCAAAGCATGAAGGCAGTTGTTCAACATCCCTCTTGAAGTCGTCCGTAGCTTCGATTTGGTCGACATGCAGTTTATACACGTATCTTTCAATTAGAATTGTCCTCTCTGAGGATTTATTTGAATTGGTGCACTCATTCTTTATAGAATATCCCGCGCGAACAGAAATCTTGCCAAGATTTATTTGGTTCAGGGGTATGTCGACATTAACCTTCAAATCCGCCCAGCGCTTCTTGACGTAATCCTTCACTGACGAAAATTCCAGGCAGCGAGAAAACGTCTTATTTTGCTCGCTGACGACTACACGCTCAGGAACGTGTACATTTTTGGGTCCCTTGCTTGTAGGGCGCCCTAGTTGTACTATTGGGGCTTTGCAGGTGTCTCTGAAAACGTCATAGCCACGCCCAACCTATTTGGAGAAGTAAATAAATGTACCCTTTTTCGAATAATGGAGCTCATTAAGGCTGCCAGGGACACGGGCACAAACATAATTTCTTAAGAATGATTTTTATGGCTCATTTTTGGACAGAATAGAAAACGGTCCGTTTTCCATTCGTTCCAAAAACGGGCCCTAAACATCATTTTTTAGAAATTCACTGTCCCAGGCACGGTTAAGAAGAAACTCGTTGTTTTTGCTACTGAAAGCCAAGGGATAGATTGTGAGTTTAGTCGGGGTTTTCGGGCTAGTCCGGGTATTGGAGGCAAACTGAGGTAGTATCTCTTGTCCTCAGTCTCAACTCAGGAACTTCCGTTCATCATAATGACAGATCTCGATGCCCTTTGGCCATCAATCCCAAAACTCGGGAGCTATGTCCGAATGGTGCTTACGTGGTCTTACCTTAACGTCTAGTAAGTTGTAAGTGTCGTTGGAGGGGACCTGGAGTCCCTCAATATCCGTGATAGGGGGATGGTTAACTTGAACCATGGCACCCTTAATTGAGTGTCCTTTCTTAATCTCATTTGCATTAGCACGCTGAGAAAAGTAACGAGATATGACTTCCTTTCCTGCAAAAATAATTTTGTCACGGACAGATAGTTGGAAACTTGAGAATCGAGACTATTTAAATCCTAGATTTTATAGTTGAGTTTATGAGCTATAACACAATCAATGTCAGTTCAGCAACTGTTCGCAAAAATGCGCGTGCTTTAAATCAAAAGAGTGCGTCATCCGGTTTCATTTTCCTTAACTAAGAGGGAAAGACGGTGGCCTGACCATGATCCCGCACTAAATTGGCACTTTTGAGTGGGTGTGGCGGGCGCAAATGTGGCCCTGTCATCAAACCACTTCAGGGTTCTTCCTAGATAGCTCGTGGGACACAAAAATAATGCAAAACTACAAAATACAAAATTTCCATTGGGAATTTAGATCTGTGAGTTGATAGTACACAACCTCCCCTCCTTAGTTTTACCCATATTTTTGTAACGCAACAACGAATTGTAATTTTAGCATTTTTTCGATAAATGTCCGATACCATGGTAAATGTCGATGTGACAAATTCAAATTGTCAAAAATATCCATTTTCGCCAATACCGATGTAAATGTCAAACAAATTGGATATTTATCACAATTTGAATTTGTCAAACTTATCGCAGATTTTAAATATCTCATAAATCGAATATTTAGGACATATCAATGAGCCAATTACAATGTGATACAATATCATGATATCACATCCATAACTAAATCTTTTACTACACCCTTGGATAAATTAGGAGGAGAGGGGCTCACTTTTGTAGTACGTCGAAGGGTCCAGATTAGGCCATTTTGTCTAACGTTTTAACCTCAACAGGTTTTCTTCAGGACGACGAGGAGGATTGCTTCACATGGTGACTTGTGGGTGAATGGGAAAAAAGTTTCCGCTCAAAGAGAAAACCCATTCACCCACAAGACTTGAATTATCAATAGCATTGCTTTTATCGCCACGCCTAGCTCTATCTAACCCACTTAGCATGTTAAATGCAACACCCTTCACAAAGTCTTCCCATTCAAGCGTCGCTTAATTATCAACAAGGTTCAAAACTTGCCGATTTAGTTGAACTTGTCTGTACCATTTGGCCGCGGGAGCCTTGTCTCAAATTCTGGAAGCCAGCATTACCACAGTTGAGTGTTGCTCACTTTGCAAATGCCTAATTAGTCGATAAATGGAAATACGAGAACTTTCACATAACTAATTTTCACACTTTTAAACAGTGAATCACTGTAGGGACTGTAAATTTGGATTTCCAGCCTTACTAAACCATCGTAGCGTAAGCTAGGCTAAAAAACTGGATTCGACGAAAATGCCCTCGTACGAGATTTTTCGCTCCCACGTGTTACCCTACTGCGACTGGTCCAACCAGTCTACAAGTGCTCCCACAGGTTACCCAACGACGGTTTAACCGTAACCCATTTATTCGACTATATCTTCACTGCATAATTTAAATATCTTTTACTATAACCTCTGTATGCTTACCTATTACATCTCCATTCTTCTCACATAGGTCAGTCAATTTGCTGAACAGGGTGAGTGGATGCTTATCTCCATTCTTGAGTACGAACCAACCATACCGGTCCTTTACCAGACGACACTTCGTTGGACAATTTTCAACAGCGACCACCGGAGGATCAGAAATTTGAAGGTGCTTCTCTGACAATTCTTTCACGCAGCGAGTTTGGTCCTCCAGAACCTCGCGGACTTCTGTATCAGGAATACTTTCCAAACTGGTGAGCACAAATATTACCGCTAGACATTTCGGATCAATCAACTTGAAACTTAATGTTGACCTAATTCTTTTGAGTGTCTTTATAAATGGGGTGTTTTCGTCATCTTTACCCCCAAGTCGGTAATCGGTTATCGAATGGACGATCATGATGATATTAGGAAACACGTGATTGCCACTAAATTCTGGATGAGTGTCCAGAAATTTTCTATGACAGGCTAAATGCAGTGCGTCCCTGTTCTTGGTGTCCTCAACTCCAGGTCCATCGATGATACTGATTTACATATTTTTGATGAACAGCCGGCTACCATGAACCGGTGCGACATGTTCCAAGGTGTCCATCGTAACTGACGTCCCTCTACCTATGGAAATCGAGAGAAGGACTGAAGAAGACAACCCTTCACCTGGCAGAATCACCGAGTGGAAGCTTTTGGATATGTTGAAGTACTGGGTAAGTCTAGCAAAAGTGAAGAAGGATTTCATTCCATGGCCCCATTTGCGCCCGCCACACCCACTCAAGGGTGCGAAAAACACGAAAAATACCGTTTTCGTTCATTAAAAAAATCACCAAAAACCCAATTAAATTTTCAGAATTTAAGCATTTTTGTGATCTAAGATAGTTGTTTCATCGAGTCTGATATCAATTTTTTTTTAAAATTTTTTGAGCATTTTCGAAAATTTCCTTACCATGGGGTATGCCTTCGAAAAAATCATAATTTCAAAAAAGTTGAGTGTGCTATTGGATATGATGAAGCAACTATCTAAGATCACAAAAACCCTTAAATTATATAAATTAAATTGGGTTTTTGGTGATTTTTTTAATGAACCAAAATAACTTATTTTTGCACTTCTGGGTGTGTGTGGCGGGCGCAAATAGGGTCATGGAATGAAACCCTACTTCACTTTTGCTAGACTCACTTAGTACCACAACGTATCCAAAGGGCATCAAAATCTGTG